CAAAATTCAAAATTGTATTTATTGTAAATCATATATGATACAGAAACTCGTTATTTTTAAACAAAATTACTCCACATAAAATATTCCTGAGTAAAATGGCAATATTTTTTTAAAAGTTACAATAAAAAGTGCATATAGCCATTAAAATTCAATTAATCTTAAAATTATGAATTTCCAAGTTATAAAAAAAATTGAGACTGAACCAAGATACCTATAAACCATTATCATTCCAACATTACAATTTAAGCTGAATTTATACCCCAAGTACACAAGACAAATTGAAGGAATGACAACTTCTCTGGTTCCGCGATGAAACTTAAGAAAAACTTCCTCTGTCTCCCTGGACACCTTTACAGCTCACATGTTATACTGTTACTTACACTGCGTACAGAGGTTGTTAAAATAAAAATATTAAAAAAAAATTGCAGTCCAAAATCCTGACAGCAAGAGACCATCTTGGAAGCAAAGAAATAAATGAGAGGATAATATTAAAATAGATACTCTTCTGTGGCAGGATTTTTAAGCAAAGTAATGAACTTTTAGATTCCACATGACACGGAACTTCTCGACCAACTTAGCGAGTATCAGCTTTCAAGGTCACCTCAGGAGTTTAAAGAGACGTTTCAATAAAAATGCATGTGACAGAGAAAATGGTGTCTTTATTTGGGTCTGAATAACGGTAAGTATGGACTGAAAAGAGCATTTTTTGAAAATCACCTTGTGACTGCATAACACGGTAAACATAATATTTTGAAAAATGGAACTACTATAACAAATATCACAGACAGATCTTGACTTAACATGAAAATACATCCTGTCATGTGATTAGAAGGGTTTGTGGTGGTAATGATATGGGGTTGTCAAAAGGTTGTCTGTGTTACATGTTGGGAGCACTTTAACACTGATGCTGTAACTCCACCAACAAGAGGAAAGGCACAACACAAAATCACACCCCCTTACGCCAGAGATGCTAAGGTATGATATTACGCTGCACATCAATTTGCATTAGGAACAATTTCTCCTTTCTCTCTGTACTACATCTGTAAACTTAATAGCAACTGATCAATATTTTAAAAAATGCAAATAAAAACTGAATTATTTAACACCCCTGACTGCAGGGAACGTCAAAAAGCAAAGTGCCAACTATGTAAAACATTGCATTATCAAACAAACTGCCAGAATCTTAACCAAAGTCACATCAACAGTTTTACACACATCACAGCTTTATATCAAAGTAACAATGACAATACATTATATGAATTAGTAAAGTGAATAAATTGCCACAAACTTTCAGGAAGAGAAACTTAATTTCATCCCCAAAATTTCCTGTTTCAATTACAAAATTGGGGAACTAATTTAAAAAAAAAATTACATTATGATTCTGATTTATAAATAACTTACCATTTAAAATCTGTCAACTTAATATTTTAAGCTTTAAGCAGTACATAATTTGATTTTTTTAATTGTGAACTGAACACTGCTATCAACATACATTTAAGGAAAATTACTGCAAAGATACCTTACATGTACACAATTATATTGAAATTCAGAGATGGAATACCTTTGTTGTGGGATTAGTATATATTTTGCTTCATACCACATTAAATGTATTTACTCTGAGATGAAGAGCGTAACCCAGTCACGGCTTCTGCGATGCCATAAATCATAATTAAAATAATTACGCAGCAACAAGACGGTTAAACCACTCCAGATAAAATTTGGAAGATACTTCATACATCGACTATTATTATATCTAGCAAAATGTCAGTTGGCGTCTATTTGCCATTTTATCACTAGACGGCACAACATCTAATGAAGTACCACAGTCTAAACATAAAATATTTTTAGTCCCACCAGTTTTGACCGAATAAATGTGTTGAATAACACCGAACTAATGGCCCGTTATCCACAGACTATGAATTCACACTGGCGATGCTCGTGAATGTTCAGTGGTGTCTTAGGGTTGTCAGGAAAATATATTTTATTAATTAGTGAAACAAAATGGACAAAAGCAGAAACAATTTTAAAAAATACAAATAATAAAGTCCACGTTCATACATTTGTAATCTCTTAAATTAAATAAAAGGAGCTGGAAACCAACATTACCTCATAAGATCTACATATTCCATTCAAGGGAACCTCAGCACACACAAACACCATTAAAAAAATTGACATGCTTGGACTAGGTGACGTAATAAATTTCTCTGATCAAATAACAAGTTTTTGTGCCAAAACTCGTAAGAACAACATCAATTTCACTACCATGAAAACCATGAAATTCCATCTTAGTTAAAATAACGAAGCTAGAAGAAATATGATATAGTGACACCAAAATCTAATATGCCGGCCTTGACTTACAATTATTGACTGGGAAGGTAAATAAAAATGTAAATGTAAAATACTTGGATTACAAAAGCAAAGAGAAGGTGTTTTTCAGGATTACACTTGTTATAAGAAATCTAATGCTGCTGACACTAATGAGTTTGTAATCCATCCATCCACAGAGAGACAAACGGAATTTAAATTTCTATCAAAAATCTTTCATTCACTCTGAAGATGAATCCAGCAACAGTATCTATGGAAGAATTTATTCTTAACTTCATTTCTTCACAGAAGGTACAAATTTGTATACTAACAACATAATAGCAACACATCTTTCCAGTTCTTTAGTCTGAAAATTCAGATTTCCAATGGGAACTGGGTGGAATTTTCAAATCCATTGTCTCTTCCCTTTCAGTCATTTTATGTTACAGTGTGCATAACTGTAAGTTATTTGTCTCTACATACTAGAGGTAACAAAAATTTATTAATTAACAGTGATCTATTATTTACCAGTTACCTTAACAAATCTTCTTGCACCTGATAAAAACAAATTAATTACTGCTTCTATGCACATTGTAACAACAGAAAAGAAATAACAGATGTGAAAATACAAGGTTATTATCTATATGCATACCAAGTCGCAGAAGACAGTTCGTTTTTCATATATCATATAATTGCTAAAATTGCACATAGCCATTACGCAAATGTCACAAAATCCTGTCTAAAACAGAACCCGGATTAAATGGATACCTGTCAGACAATTTCTCTGGTCTCAAGAACACACGAGAATTTTTTTTTAAAACTTACCACCTAATAAACAAAATGAAAAAAACAAAAATTATAAATTGTCTGCTTGAATATTTATTATTTTTTTCTTTAAAAATTTCTTCAGAACTGTGTTTCATGGAATGTATATAAGAAAGAACATTCCTGGTAAACACAAGAGACAATTAAATTGGCTGCCCCCCCCCCCCCAAGCAGAATAATTCTTTAAATGGATGGTGGATGACTGAATGACTGATACAAAATTAAAAGACAGAAAAAAGAACTGAAGCTGTGTGTTACTTACTAACAGTATAATTTATGTAAGTAGGAATTCATTATTTGTGATTTGGCTCGGAAATACAATCTTCCAGTGCCAATATTTTTTTTCTAACCTGGAAACACCTGTGGTAAATAGAAAAAACTCAGAATCTGTGGGATTCCATTATCAGCAGACTTCACTGTAACCATATTGTATCAAGAAGTCCTGTTAAGATTCGACCTATTCTTGTATGTCCTGAATTGTATGCACTGCCTCATATTCAGCATGATGCAGAACATAACTAACTGCAAGAAAGAAATGCTCAGTATGCTAAAATACAGGCACTAACCAGAGATAAAAAACCCTCAATTGCCTCAGATCCAAAAGCACGAGAATGGTGTCTCTGATGAAAAATATTTTAGCACACTGAGTATGTACGAAATACTGCTGAAAAAGCTAGTCATTTGTCATAAAATGGATGCATTTCCCATTCCACAGATGAAGTTTTCCTCAAAACTAAAAAATTGATTAAGGGCAAGTTTTCAATTAATTCAACTAAAATACTGTATATGCACTGCAATAAGAACGGAAAGTGTTAGTATGTATTAACAATTATTTTATGTTTTTATTTATGTTACCAGTCAATAACGTTAAGAAATCTGTAAGAGCCATACTTCAATTTTATCACTTTGTCCCATTTAATGTAAATTTTCTTAACTCTTCATATGAAATGGGGTTATACTGTCTGATTCAGCTATAATTTAAAAACGTTCCCAGCTACATATCAGAGATCCTCATAATCATTATCTTATGATTATCTGTGAGGTAACACAAAATGATTCAACTCTTCGGAATATCCGAGACAGAAACTAAGAACCAATTCTCATCAGATTACATAAATGCTTTCACCTGATGACGACAGGCAAGTGGAAGCAACAGAATTGTTTTGATTACCACATATTTCTTTCACATTCTGAAAAGCCGTCAGTTCACTTATATACCACTCAAGCTTATGATGAAACAGCACTTTATTTCACAGGCTGGCGATGGCCTGAAGTTAAATTTCAAAACTAAATTAAAAGCAAACAAATTATGGAATGCACAAACAAGTATTCATCTCTACTGATATGCCACTCATCTGTTTAGAAAACAGTCTGAAATCACGCACTATGGAACGATTGTAAACTGCGACTCAATGCGGTGTGACCACCGTTTCAAGCCTACTTCAAGGAAAAGCTTGTGAAAAGAACACCTCAATACAGTTCTCTTAGAAGGCAAATAAACAGGGCTGAGAGAGTAAAAGTTTTGATCCTAAAATTTTTTAAGCAAATGGAACACAAAACTTGTTTTTAAAATGTGTAAGAGGCATATCAGTATAATGCGTTGAAACGCATAATGACACAATGTACAATTTAGGACCAGCAACATGAAACCACTAAATATTAAATAATCTGTCAACGACAAAACTTTTTTCAGAAAACTTCCACGTAACTGGTAACGCTCACAAATATTATGCTGCTGATGGTATATTATTTTGTACAGAAAAATCTATGTCATAAAAAT